GAGTTTGGAATATTATGAGTTGACAGCCACCAAAGACTATGAGGAAGTATGACAGAGGCCCGACTTGTTGGAGTATAGCGTCTGGATAATCTCTAATACTAACCCAAGATATAAAATTATTAGCAAGAACATTAACATAATTATCATCAGAATTCATGTTTCCATCAACTAATACTAAAGGGCCTAACTTAAACGTATACAGTCTTTGTTATAAGCTTCTCCAGTGTTCCTCCACACTTTTGTTCTACCATCTGACTTAAAAAGAGCGAATCTTGACTCATCAGACCATACTATTCGTTTCCATTCTTCTACCCAATTATGTTTTTGTCTGCACCACCTCAATCGCTTCGCCTATTGTTTTTCAGTTAACAGAGGCCTTTTTTTCGTAACATAACTCTTGAACCTTCATCGTGAAGATATTTTCTATCAGTGGTATTGTGTAGAGCAGTGTCAAGAGTAGAATTTACTTTGCTTGCTAGAACGCTAAGCGAGGCGAAGCGGTCGTTGCGGACAATACGTTGCAGAACTCGTGCGTCCCGTTGAGTAAGAGTTTTAGGATGTTTTTTGGGTGTAGTAGTGTGGGTTTGCTTATATCGTTTGATTGTGTCGTTTATTGTACTAGTGGGAATATTTAGTTGCGTTGAGACAACATTCTGCTTGATGCCGTTAAGGTATGCGCCAATAATGCGCTCGTGTTGTTCACTTTTCCGCGCGTATGCTATTATTGAAGATGTTAGGGAGATAACGCGCGGCAATGCAAAAATTTCATCCATTCAGTCGCATCTTATTATTAAGCGCGGAAGTATCAGTAAAAACAATGACCACATTAGGACGAAATTCTTCCTTATATATCGAAAATTTTTGCCAACGCGAATACAATGCAAATCTCCTCATTTATCTGAAAATTTTGACAACTAGTGTAGTGAGTAGCTAAGACGTTGCTATTAGGATAGTTCCTCTTATTCTAATAAAATTATATTTAATTACAAACGTTGTTATTTCGTTTTTCCCTGGTAATAAGATATTTGCCAATTAATCCTATAGTACTTTTGCATCAGGATTATTGTTTAATTTAACGTTAGTGTAGAGAGATAATTTCCCCGACCGATAGGCTCTGAGATTAATTCCATCAGAGAAATCGACGTGCTACTCGAGTTAAGCAATAATTCAGTACAAGACCGATAATAATAGATCGTGAGTATAAAACCTAGTTCAAAGGTCACTATTGTTGTTGGTATTTAGTTTAAAGCAGAAAGAGCAAAGGCTTCCGTTGGAAAGAACTAAATCCCAAGACTAGTGCACCGCCGCTCTCCCAGGTGTAAGCTAGCTCGACAATATACAAAAATAGTGGTAGCAAAAAATTATGTTTTTCCACAAGTATACATAACATAACCAGATAAAGTTAGGCTCATTTGAAAGGCTATGAGCTGCTTTATTATAATAATGATTTTTTTTTTTAATATTTAATTCTATTGCCGTTTTGCATTGTGCTGTAAAATTAGTCCACATGTCCATTTCATAAACAAAATATTATTTTGTCTATAGTCTTCTTTCCATGTGTAATGGTGTAAAATTATTGTATGAGTTACATGAAGTGCTGACGAATCAAAATGGCACTATTATAGTGAACAGCTTGGTCAATAGAATGTGACAAGCTTTGAGTCATTTTCGATGGACACCCACTAACTACCTTTTACTTCAATGGAGTTGCATTCTTTGAGTTTGTAAAAATCATTCTCAACTGTATGTAGCAAATATCAGAGTTTTTTTTTCACTGAATGAATATTAAAGTGTAAAAGAGTTCGTCACTGAGCTTCAAATTAGATTTATCCATATTATTAAGCTCCACAAAGACAAACTTTTAAATTAACTTTCTTATAGAAACTGGCAATAAAAAAAACAGGAAATGAAATAAAGCAAATTTGCTAATACAAAAACATTCAGTAGAAAGTTGATAACCATAAATGTAAATAATTGTTTTTTTGTTTCACAAGTGACCGCGTTTTTTATTTATGAGTCAAAAAAAAAGGTTATTTGCAAACCACCATTTTTTTGAGACAGACTGTAAATAGGCTGGCTCATATACAAACCGCGTTATTCGCATACACAAGAACCAGGATAACCAATATGAGAATTAATCGTAATATTAATCAATATTACAAGTTAACAATCCCGATAAATAAGACACACAGTCAGCCTTGATAAGTCAGTCCCTTGATAAGTCGGTCAATCTATGTAAATTCGCGATAAGACGTGAGTCGGCCAAGTCGGTCTCACGTGATTTTATTGTACAAGCTAGTTTGCAGAGCTATTTCACAATTTAGCTGTATAATTAATAACAAAAGTTGAATGTGGCTTATACTGTATACATATAAACACGTGATTCTCCATAAGTCGCCATTGTAATTACAATATCAGTAATAGTGAAGACGATACTATTTAGTGTATTATTTATGTCGTAATATGTTTACGCTTTTATTATTATAGCATCATTATTTAGTTATTATGTAGTCATAATTATGCATATATGCATATATGCATATATCGTCCCTAACGGAACTAACTATTATGAATAAGATGTACGTACCAGAGACCATCACAGCTTATACAGATCTGGACTCTTTTGCGTAAAAATGAAATATGTTATTTGTTAGGACACAGTTTATCACCTCCTTCTACACGCGTGCCTTGAGATTTTTGTTACAATGCTGTATCACGGTTGCGCGATGCATACGTCGTAATAGGATGTAACAGTCATTACATTAATACAGGAATATGTTAATACAGGAATATGCTTGCAGGTTCAAATGCAGTAATGGTTATGTAATGCTTGTATATGTGTTTGTCTAGACTATTCTGGACAATTCATTAGGTTACAATTTATCATTAATTGAATTGTGAATGCAGTCGTTGAGAGGTCTGCTTGTAGTGAGAATTTAACACTTACTTTATGGGTTCACCATATAACGATCGGACCAGCCCGACACTTTATTTTATGACGACACGCTCGTCACTTAAAAGGATATGGGGATGTCTATCGCATGAATGGCTTGGGAGAATTTTCACCAATTTTTAATTTGCTAGTATAACTTAAATTGTGAATGTGAAAGGTGTAACTGATAATAAAGAAGAGGAAATGGCGAATTGACATCAAGGAAGATGACACAATTTTATTCGAAATAACAAAATAGTCTATGAAAACGGAGATATCCTTCTGACTTCATTTGTCCGATGATTATCATCTATCTCCGAGTTTAAAAACAGGTCTTTGTCATCACAGTATTTGGGAAAGATAAGCTAAGAATAGAAAGTAATAAGCACAACCGATGAGCGTAATCTGCTTCCAATAGTATGTAACACCGATAAGAATGACAACTGCAGAAAAAATAACAACAACAACAGCACATGAGCTGTCTCTGCAGGAACAACAACAACAACAACAACAACAACAACAAGGGCAGTAGTAACAGTAATTAATAGCAACAGCGAATGACAACAATATTAATAAAGTTTAAAAGGAGTTGTGCGATGGCGGGGGGGCGGTTAACGTTTAAATATATTTGTATAACAAGTTCCCCATATGGAAATTATTAAAAAAAAGATAGGCAGTATTAGTGACTATTATTAACAATATTTATCTTCGTGATGTTTATTTGTTGTTATTGCTTTTGTTCGTAAGAAGCTCCATATATGATCAAATATCCGAATTGATCTTTCTATAATAACGATTGTTATCATTACCATGAATGTCTTTATTTCCTATTGTATCTCCCACTAAACAAAGGTTAACAAAGCAACGCTGCACTAATTTCATTGTTTCGACCCTTGCAAAACTGCTGTTTACCTATCAAATACATAGAGGCCCTTTGTGATATTGAAACCTTAATTAAATTTGATTCATCGAATACATAATAATAATAATAACCCGCTTAAACTTGGCATGATCTCCGCGGAAGAAGATTTTCGCTTATGTAATATAACATTGCAACATTAACGATACGTGACCATCCATAAAAGTAAGGCATGTAACCCCAATTGGTGTCTTGTAACAGAATCATGATGACTAGATTATTACTTTTGGGGAATTCGTACTGACCGTTTGCAACTTACAAACACTGTTCCGAATATGTCATGTGATTCGATTCGTTCTGATTATGATGTCCAGCCTTTTGCACACACACACACACACACACACACACACATTCTATTTCCATGCTACTTGATTTAAGCTGTCGTACGCTTGAAAATGACGGCATGTAATTGGATGTGTAATTTTGTCTGTTACTTTAGCGGTTGCAATAATAAAATACAAGGGAAGACAATAATCAACCCCAACCGACTGACCGAACCGAACCGAACCGAACAACTGACCGAATAACTGAGCCTACTGAATACTTATTTCCTATTTTCATTTCTCCCCTCCCCTTAATATTACGACGTTCCGAATAGAAAAACAATTTATCCAGCTCGTAGCAGCTTTGGCTAGACCCTCTTCCCCATCCCATGAAACACACATAAGCTGGGCCTCAATCTGCATTCTTATTCGCCGTAATTTAAATTATGAATCACCTATTTTATACCAAATAAACACGTTGCAAATCCCCTGTTATTGGTGTTTATTACACTTCCAATCGCAAACAAAAATTCCAACTCCTTCCTTCTTATTCGTCGAACCTTGGCTGTTGTAATGCCATCTTTTTTAATCATTACAAATTATGTCCCTCTCCTAATACTTACTTTTCATGCTCGTGCTTTTGCGTCGATTTTATCTTTCATCTCCATTCTCTTTCCTTTTTATCACGAAAAAACTGTCTAAAACTTCAACAATATTCTCTTTTCTGTTATCTTGTTAAAAAAATTTTTAAAAGAAAATATTTATACATACAAAATTAAAAAAACCCCTCGTATATTCCAGTACATTTACTGAACATTTGATAAAAATATTTCCTTTGCGTCGTTAGAGTCAAATTAGAACAAAAATCTCCAACCTCCACCTCAACATGAGTAAGATGACCGATGGGAAATCAATACATGCGCTAATAAATAGAATAGGATCCAAGGTAAGAATCGAAAAGGAGTATAAAGTTTCAGCCTGCTCATTCTATTCTGTACCCGACACATTTTATGAATACCCGTACCCTATCTCTTACCACTACCACTACCGCTGGTTACCATTACCACTACTGCCGGTTACCACTACCATTACTGCTGGTTACCCCACAACCCATCCCCTTTCCATGTTACTTAAATGCTTTTATTATTGTCTATTCTCTAGTTACCATGTAATAGCGGCAAGACATTAGATGCATTAGAGCAAGATCCATTAATACAGCAAAATGTTAATTCGTTGGTAGAATTATCCAGATTTAAATTACCGATTATTGCTGAGCAGTTATCTCGCTTATTAGACACTATATCAAAGGTAAGAAACACGCTCGAAACGAATTATTTTGGTTTGATCTAGTTGCAACGGAATGGATCTATTGAGCATATATAATATGTGTCTTTCCTCCTCAAATAAATATGGTCATTGATTCCGACGGAAAACATATCTCCTATTTATTATGCTCTTTGATTTTACAAACCATTGATCATTATTTCACGTATCCGCTTTATATTCTTTTCAAAATTCCAACGCCCTACTCACCTTGCTGTTTTATTGCAATATCAGCCTTCATCAATGGTGCTCGAAGAGTTTGTACCAATGGAAATACTTCAGTCTCAACTCTTTCTTCTAAAAATATTGTCCGCTTCTATGACACATCACTGGAAATGCTATCGTAATTCACAGAAAGAAGTAAACAAAATTAATGATCAACAACAGTCAGTTGACCCGGCTAATGCTGTCAATAACGGTCCATATAAACTTCCTCGCTCGTGGGATGACCCTCCTCCGCTCGACGATACGCTTGCAAAATTAATATTGGGCGTGTTAGTAAGGTTTCTCCATCAGATGGCATCGCAAGAGGAAAATGTCGTAGCTGGTGCGCCTCCCGCTGCAACTGGCGGTATCAACAATAACAATAATCAAATTGGCACTTATGAAATAATCTGTGAGATATTCAAGAACGCGGGTAGAGTTATTTTTTATCTATCTGCTTCTAATTGGGGAGTAATATTTGCAAGAGTAAAACAGAGGATTATACATCTAACCACAACAAACGACGAGTGGCCCGAGACTGCCGAACTGAAACTATTAGAGGTGTCTGACCTCAATTCTAATCGATTATCACAAGTCCTACAAGGTATATACAGAACTTTGTGACCATGACAATTAAATCATGCATGGGAGATCGTGCCAAGTTTTCTGATTTATTCATATGAAAAAGCAAGATACATTATAATCATTGACTCTTTTTCGTTTTTTTATAGAACTATGCAATTCATTTATACACTTGAAACAATCGGCTCAGACTGTAATGGCTTTTGTTCTTCGTAAAGCAATCTGGAACTGGATCGAGGTCTTTCCCGCGGAATTTGTCACGCTCTGTCAATCGCGAGGCCGCATGGGGGGAGGACCAGAGCTTCTTTTCGATACCTGCTGCGGTCTCGCCGAAACGGCGCGGCGACGAACCGTAATTTGGCCCCTTCAAACAATGCTGCTTATATTATGTCCAGACATCTTGGCAGAAGCTACTTCGATAAGTGATGTTGGACAAGCGGGTAACAGGAAACAAGTGTATCTGGATGCATTAAAGAGGGCTCTCAGAGGAGCACGCATGGCCGACATTGCTGCAGTATGCTATGTAGATTTTTGCAAAGCCGCAACATATGTATCACAGAATGAAAACTTGGCATTGAGGCAGATGGTACCCGAAATTGAAAATGAGCTTAGGGATAAATTATTCGACCCAAGAAGACCATTCATGACGGAACAGCAAATCGACCAGCGATTAATGACAGATTGCTTGACTGCATTGTTTAGGTTGAATCCAACAAAGACATTAAATACCATTATTCCAATTTGCTTACGGCCAACAGCACCACCGGCTTTCAGACTCGTACTTGTAAAGAGCTGTTTTGCCATTGCATCTGAGGTAAAGAGAAGAAATTAAAACAAAAAACCAAACAGCACATTGCTGTCTATCATTCGAGTGCTCATTTTACTAACATTTTCAAACTTGACTATGCTGTTTAGGAAAACCGTCTTCCATGGAATCCAGCTATCACAGCAATGTATTCGATAATCGCTTCGCCACTTCGTAAACTTTTCCAGGAATATATAATTCAACGCGATCGGAGCCTTGGTAGTCGTAGATTAAAACCGGACGAACTGAAAGAAGCAAACGAGAAAAAGGAAATAATTCTCAACATCCTCAAACTATATCGCACTGATCCAATGCTAGCCATATTTAGCGGAGAGGCGGGCGAACAACCAGAGGAAAATAGAGCAATCATATACGGCATCTCGTTATGTTTCAATGACACCAGTCTGGGAATAAGAATGACTGCCGCCGAGACTCTTTTAGCACTTCACAGCCCAGACTATATTGAAAAGTGGGGTCCACCGGAAAATAGAATGCAGAATTTCTGGAACATTAGTTCTCAAGTTATGCTTGGAGTTGCTCGTCAACTACTGGAACCAAAAGAAGAAGGAACAAAATATATGTTGGAATTGCTCCTTCAACTCCTCACACGCCGCAACGAATTCCTTAAAATGCATAAACAAGAAGCGACTATTGGAATTAATGTTCCAGAGAGAATTGCTAGTAATGTAGCAATAGAAATTGCATTGTTGGTACTATTATGTAGTGCAGACACGGAGATTTGTTCGATGGCTGTGGCGTGTTTCGGACATCTCTGCACGGAAGCACAATTAACTGAAGACTTGGATTCTCCACAACAAATATCACAGTTAACTATAATAAAGAACATTAAAGTATATATGGAACTATCGTCGTCGTCTTTTGTAATAACTGGTAAGAATACAAGGAACGGAAAAGTAAATGGCAAGAATGTTTAGGAAGCACTCTCGACAGCTCAATATCTCATTAATTTTGTTTCTTTTATCAGGTCGCATGGCACAACAAAAACGCATCCGCCGTCTTCTTCGTATTATGACTAATCACACGGCCGGTAACCTAGCCGCTTGGGAAGAAGCTTATAAGCGTTGGCGAAATCTTACCTTGCAGGTTGCACGACCTGCTGATGAGTCGGTACCTGAAGCCGAAAGAAGGAGAATAATGGGCGTCATCGCTAGACCAGCAGCAGCTCCCGTACGCGATATCACCGAGGCGGAAACAACTGAATGGCACAACTATACCGGATTTTTGTCTGCTCTTGGTGGTGTATGTGTGTTTGCGAGCCAAAGCAGTGCTGGAAGAAACGGGTTTCTAGCCCAACAGTCAGCAGAATCCAACTATCAGGCTTTGGCAGAAAAGTTTCTTTCAGAAATGGTTGATTTATTGGTTTGCGACTCGGTGTACGTGAGGGAAATAGTGAAAGAGACACTCGGCGCAGACCTATCGCCCCGATTATATACCATTCTTTTTCAATATCTTGAAAATATAGTAAAAAAATTCTTTGATAGTAATGGTCAAGCTTTGTGTACTGATCGTCATACGCTTTTTGTTGAGCAAGCAATATCAGTCTTAAAGTTGATACTCGATCGGGTACCCGAGGTGTCGGAGAATTTATATGCTGTCGATTTCGGTGGGCTGATTCTGTCATTTGCAAATTATCTACATCGACTGGCAAATGGACATGTCGCGTTGAGAATCAAGGTGAAAATGTGTCAGTTGACTGAAGCTTTAATGGCCAAAAAAGATTACGTAACGCTCCGACAAGAAATAACAATGAGGAACAGATTGCTCGAGATTATCACCGAGTGGACATCGGATTACAATGCGGTGAGTGTTAATCTAGAGGGACATTGGAAATTTTTGCCTGATTGATGACTAAAATTGACTATTATTTGACGCTACACAGAAAGGTGATAGTAACATTGGTGCCGACAATGCTTTGAATGCAAACGAGAGGTTACAGAGAGATTTGGATCAGGCCTGTTTGAAGACTATAGTTGCTCTTCTCGCACAGTTACCCCTACAGCCACCAGATGGAATTCGCGAGGCTGATTTGGGTAAAGGCAAAGCCACAATGTTCTTTAGATATTTTACGTTCTTCATTAAACTACTTAATAGGTGTCGTGTCCTTGAGGTAGGCAATCAAGAGAGAGGGAGAGGGAGGAGGCAACGATTCGAATTCCATACAGTTGTGTGCATGATATTGATTTTTGTTTTTCATACATATTTTAGGCAATTGACAGTGGCACGCACTCGGCCAGGAACAACCCTGACCTCCAAATGTTGTTGACAAGATCGAGAGAATATGTCAAAGATCTTGGTCCTCTAAAAGACTATACTATACTTGCACTGAGCAATCTCCTTTCTGCTAACGTTGAATCTGGTCTACAGTATTCCCTTCAAATGGGATACCATGACGATGCCAAAACAAGGTCGGCGTTTATGGAAGTCCTAACCAACATTCTGAATCAAGGTGCCGAGTTTGAAGGGTTGGCGGAAAATGCCATCAATGATCGCTATAACAAACTAGTCGAGGTAAAATCATCAACCAAGTGTTACATATTGTCGGGTAATTGATAATTGGAAATTAACTTTTTTTATATATATATAGTTGCTGACTGAAGACGACTTGAATATTGCCATGTCGTTTGGTTCGGTGGCCACAGCCTCAGAAACTGACGATATAGCTCTTCTGTTGCTTACAGTCTTTGAGTCACGCGGCAAGGCAATGGCATTACTCAAGGCATCACTAGAGAGAGAAGTGTTTCGTACAGGTAATGAATAAAAAGGAAATAGCAGTTGTTTAATTCAATATCGCCTCTCGCATCACCAAACGCTCACTCGTGTATTTATGCCCAACTAGAAAATGAATTTGAGCTGTTCAGACGTAATAGTTTGTTCACCCGTCTTCTCAATGCGCTCGCTAAAACCCACGGGAGCGATTATTTAAAAGAAACAATACAGCCCGTCTTATACGGCATGTATGACATATCAAACGACATGTACTTTGAGTTAGATCCCGACAAAGCTCAAACAAGCGGTAACGTCAACCAGAACGTTCAGAACACCAAGCAAATGGCACAGCAATTTTTGGATGCTATTTGTTCATCAATCGACAGAGCCCCATTGTAAGACAATGTCCTATTGAGCTTAGTCCATATATCAATTACGTTTGCAATTATTAATTATTGTTTACTTTTGCACAGGTCGTTCCGCGAAGTCTGTTATTACATTGCTAATACTGTAAAAGAACGTTTCCCCGAGTCTAGGCTGACTGCAGTTGGTGGATTCATCTTTCTCAGATTCTTTTGTCCAGTAATTGTATACCCAGAAAATGGGGGTCTGATGCCACCACCAAGCCCAAATACACGCCGTGGTCTGCTTGGCATTACAAAGATCATCCAGAACTTGGCCAACAATGTTCTCTTTGGCGCTAAAGAACCGTACATGGTCTCTTTGAATGAATTTTTGTCTTCAAATATCGAACAAATCACAAAATTCCTGATCACTATGTCTGTAAGTGTCTATAATTTACATGTATTGTTCATTCAAGGGTTTTCTTAAGTCGATCGTTTATTTATAAACCTAATTACGTCTTTTAGACACTGCCGACCGACTTTCTAGAGCGAAAACCGAAAGAAGGCATTACACCTCTCGATGATGCTGACCGCAAATTGCTCCACAAACATCTATGTGAGAGTCTTGAACGTATGGGCAGAGATCTGGTGCCGCGCCGTACGAGATACAATCCCAACGGGCTTAGCGAATTAGAACAAATTCAAGCTCACAGAAAATCGTTTAACAAATTGTCTACTCTTCTTGCCCTCCTTGGACCCGCACCTGAAACTCCGAGACGTGAAAATGCACATGTGAATGTACATCGCTTTGAGGCCAATAACAAGCTATACACGGAATTTATGCAACGGAATGCACACAGGGATATAGAAGCCATTAGCCGCAAGGCATTATTCTATGAAGGAGCACGTTCAAAGGACAGGCGACCGGTATTCTACTTTATTGCGAGACGGTTGCAGGCAGAGCTTATTGATATAGAATTATTAATGTACTATATATTTCACGTAAGTCATGATGACATTTTTAATGTAAGTAACTTGATGGTTAATGAATAGTTTACTTACTGGCAATTATCGAATTTCCAGGTAATGGAAGCGTCTATGAACAAACCGTTTGAATTGCTGGTCGATCTCACCCAGTTTACTCATGCAAACGAAGTTCAGATACAATGGATGCAGACCTTTGCACAGACACTGCCGTATGAGGCTACTGACAACATGGCTGTACTCTATTTGTATAATGTGAACACAGCATTTAAAAAGTTCTCCAAGAAGCTGTCCCGACTTTTGTCGAATAAAATAGGGAAGAAGACTATATGTTTGAACAATTTGAGCGAACTTCACGAACATATTGCTCACGGTGACGTAAGACTTCCTAAATCAACAAGTAAGTTATAATATTATTAGTATACATTGGTGTTGGGTTGCATATACTGTACATGATATCTAATCTCAACTCATTTTATAGTCGCCTTGGATAGTGAGCAAAGTGTCACATACATGCCAGTGACAAAGAATTCTCCTTATAGAACCCAAACTCCAGTAATAATAAGAATAAATAGTGAAACTGTCCAAGTCATAACTGTAAGAATAATTTCATTATATGTCTAGTCTTGCCATTCTATATGTTCTTTATATCTAATAGACCCCATATGTCTTTTCAACTTAGACTCGCAAACAAGATCTTTTCTACGGACTCAGTTGTAATCTCAATGATGTCTATCATATCAGTGATATAGATGAAATATCACTCTCAAACCACAAGGGTGATGATAATGAATTTGTTATCAAGCACGATCGAGGACAGTCTTCTTTTACATTTGTAAGTCCAAAGCGCGACCTCATAATGCAAGCTATGCGCGAAGTCAAGGCACGCTTCCAGATGGCTAGACCATCTACATTGTCTGACAGAGCCATCAGACCGAGTGATGTCCCTGGAAAATTACTAAATATGGCGTTACTTAATATTGGGAGTGACGACCACTGTTTAAGGCTGGCCGCGTACAATTTACTGGTTGCACTTTGTCTTACATTTAATTTTGATGTTGGAAACCAATTACTGAGTGCCAAAGGTAAAGAATTAATAACCCTCCATGTCATTTATAGCGATTTGCTATTTGGGCGTCTATCTAAATTCTTTTTGAATCATTAATAGGTCTATGTATACCTGCGAACAATACGACATTTGTGGTTTCGCTTAGTGAAAAACTTGCCGCATCAGAGCCACACTTGACTTTAGAGTTTTTAACCGAGTTCTTTGATGGATTTAGAAAGTCAAGTACTCAACTTAAACACTTGTGTCTACAGTACATGGCCCCCTGGTTGAAGAATCTCGAACTTTATAGTAGAAATTCAGCAGACAATCAACAACATTTGCAAAGGACTCGTGAGATATTAAAATCATTGATTGAATTGACAACCAAAGAGACCAATGTACGTAATAATGTTTGTGCTACTGGAAACACGAATAATCACCTTAATTATGTTAACAAATTTTTTGTTTGTATTACAGATGTACACAACTATCCAGATGCAAGTATGGGCAACCCTTGGCAAAGTCGATGGGATCACAAGTCTGATAATTGACGAATTCGTTCGCTATGCAGTCGAGCATGGAATCAGCTCACCACAAGCCGAAACTGTGGCGAATACAATCGTCACGCTCTCATCAACAAATGTGCGCGGGAAAATCATTGCTCGTTTGCGAAAGGTAATCAACTTGCAAATGATTCGATTGTTAATTTGCAAGGCCTTATTTATATATCATGCGTATATTTAATATTCTCAACGCTCTTTTACAATATAACAGATTATTTCCAAACCATCGCCAACGAAAAGCCGCTCAATCGTAGACAATCCATTATGGACAGAAATAGCAGTTCTAGTGCGCTTTAATCTCATGCTTTCCTTCAACAACCGTGCCCACGTGGCAATATACCTCCCTGAGCTCTTTTACATTGTCTCTCTTCTCGTGGCGACTGGACCACACCTCATCAGAGCATCAATTCACGGTCTTGTCATTAACCTTATCCAATCGTTGTGTACTCAGAACCAGATTGAACCCGATAAATTGAGCAAACTTACGATACGATTAACAGAGTTCTCTGAGCCCAAATCTTTGTTATTATTCGGACTCAACACAGTAGCTGGTAGTGCGTTTGCTGTGTCCGAAGCTGCGACGAGTGATGTCAGTGAGATTATGCCTTTGAGTTCATTGGAGAGTATTGTACATTCATTACTGGAGGTGATGGTTTGGGGAGCAAGTAGTGTTGGTAAGTAATATAATACGTGCTAATAGAATGGGAAATGTTCTTCTATTAGACAAGAGCAATGTTTATAAGTCACCAACCTTCAATGATGCTCACTCGTACGCATACTACTATATTACAGATGTCTCAAACACATGGAGAGCACGCTGGGTAGGCCTCGTGGCCAGTACAGCCTTCCAAGTTAATCCAGCCATCCAACCGCGCGCATTTGTTACTCTCGGTTGTCTAGCACGCGAAGAAGTTGACGACGACCTGCTATATCAAATTCTAGTCGCTCTACGCGGTGCCTTGTTCGCGTTCAGTGAGAACGATTGCAGTCTCATTATCAGCATCATTATGTGCCTTACGAATATCGTTGAAAATCTACCACGAGAATCCAGATACTTCCGACCAATGTTTTGGCTTGCTATGGCGCTTGTACAGATTGGTCATATTCCTGTATTTCCCAGTGCGATCAGGTTCCTTCAAGTTTTACTTCGTGCCATGGATACGAAAGGGTTCTTTGCTGACGAAAGCATTGCAAAAGTGTTGTTGAGAGAACGCGTCCCGCTAGCCGAGGTTGCTGTTGAGATGGATACAGAGGCCGGTATTAATTACGAACATTTTTCATTTGCCGTTGCTGCCACTTTGCTCAAGGGTCTTAAACATCCTGGTACGAGAGCGGAAACTCAGGCGGTGCTAATGTCTTTCCTTGAAATTGCGTCGAAAGGCGTCAATGGCAACGGAGAGACTCACATAATTAATTGTAGCATGCTTGGATATCTTGCAGCATTGCTTCCGGTGTCGGCCAAGAATGCAGAAATGAAAGAATTACTTTGGGTGTGTGGGATGTTTGATCTAGAAATAGACAATGCCGAACTTGCGACAAATTATTACAAGATATTCGACAAACTGGAAATACCAGACAACCAAACAGCACTATTATTAGTTTCGTTAATGGTCGCTATTCTTCAAAACGCTGAAAACGAACCAGAAAGACTGTTTCTTTATGGTTTTCTCGCAGAAGCTGCCAATTCAATACCCCAAGTATTCACTCTGGTGTACGATAGTCTTCTTCCTAGGATGAACCAGATAATGAGCACGTGTGACACTATTCCAATTCTTGATGCTGTTCACAATATTCTTTATACAGTAGTGGCTTCGCCGACGATTACGCGTTCTCAGAGCAATCACATGCCTTTCCTTGAAGAAATTGGATTTAAACATCTGATGGACAGCGGGTCGTTTGCTGCTGTTACCAAAGAAAAGATGAGACAAAACGCAAAATTGGCAGCGCTGTTGGTTGACAGGATTATTGCTTGAAAGCTTACTGAACATGCAGCATTTGAACAATGTGGGTGTTATTGTGGAATTAGTTCAGTTAGTTTAATCACATAATATTTTTCTATTTCTTTATACATTTACTCTATATATAGCTTATTTTATTATACCATTTTTGATTATGATGGTATCAATTTTTATCTATTGTATGCATTTTTATTCTTTTTTTTTTATTTTTTATTTTACTCTATTCTATTCTCGCACCATGCGAACATATTTCCATTTGGTACCATCACGATCTTTGTAATATAAGTATTACTTTATTTATCATAGACTCCCAGAGTATATATACACCTGTTATTTATAAAAGTTAGGGCTGTCTCTGATTGCAAATTACTGTTTTAAATAATAAATGAAACGTTTCAGCTGAAGGCTGATCGATGTACGTACGATGCACACGTGTAAATCGTATTTTCTGTTCTTAAACAAATATTTATATTATTGATGATTTTGCTACTTCGTTTGACGATTTAGTTCTTGTAACTTAAATGTCTATATCCAATTAAGAGCTGCGGATGGATTGTAGTAGGCATTCTCCGGAGAGAATCAAGGCTCCATATCAAGCAATGCCCGAGGAAGATTCCCCGAGCGCCATTTCGGCACTTGTACATCTCGGACCCTCCTATTTTTTGAACAGCTGCAAGTTTTTGAAGTATAGGCCTCATTTTGGATAATAACACGGACCCATAATTCTTCTATTTAGCCACCAGATGTTGGCGAAATTGATAGTGGCCCCAACAGAGCATTTTGCGAACGGTTTTTCGTGCTATCCTTCTTGTTTTTCGATTTACCATGTTCTATGTTCGACACCTCAAAAGGAGGATAATGGCATCAAATTCGCGAGTAAAAAATGCGACACTCTGGTTGATCATATATTTTGATTGATTATCTTGAACCCTTTTTTGGCGATGGCGGCGGCGCAGTTTTCAATTGTCCCGCCCTTGAAAAAGCGCGGCAAAATTAAAAACTTACTCGCTCGCTCCAGGAAGAGTTTGGCGGAAGCAGAAAAGACAGAGCAGGTGATGTTAGCATTGAGGGGAGAGATGATTTTGTTTTTCAAATTGCAATGGTTAAAGAATTTGGGGATAATGTCTTTAAATATGTTTATGCTTGTCGGTATTTGAATGGCGGAAACCGAAAACGCGCATGAAACATGCAATCTTATATGGAGCCTACGCGCATAAACCATGCAATCTCATATGGAGTCTACGCGCATGAAACATGCAATCTCATACGGAGCCTGTGCTTGCATTGAATGAAGCTATTGACTACCTGAAGCTTTGACAACTCTCTCGGCAATACCCAATCCGAGTGAGGAATGATTACGCCGATCATAAAAAGCCTGTAGACGTCTGACGGCAAGAGTCTATTGCAAATGTGGTCTTACCATCAGGATTTGTTGATTAAAACGAGTGGCACCTATTATCAGCAGGTTTTTCTTCAAAGGGTGAATTCCAAACCAACTAATTGCATGTTTCCTCAATGGATCCTTACCAGCTGTTGGTGGTTCGACCAAGTCAAGCTCGATGACACATGCTGCATAGAATTTGAACAGATGCTTGAGTAAACTCATTAATCATCTTAAATGTAAAACTCCTTACTACTTGTGCCCGATAATCTTGTCACAATCGGATTAATCTCAATAGTTAGCTTGGGAAACGACTTTTGGGCATTCGAAAAGTAGTGAACTTGCGTGGATCGACAAAATTCGAGGCAAAGTTTCGCGTGACCTCGTGTGCAACATTGACATGAATAAATATAAAAGTCGGTAAGATAATTTTGTTCAACAATTCCCGTTTTTAATTCTTCAGACAGATCCACACACCCTCCCCTCGCAAGAAGAGGTCCAGGTAGACCCGGAAAAAAAAAAGCACGCAAGAACCGAAGCACAAACACTAATGTCTGCTTCCTCAACCAAACCCACACCAACGACATCAACTCCTAAGAGGACTTCAGGCAGAGTAACCTTTTCAATACCCATAGATTCCTCCCTGACGCCTGAATTAACAATTTCGACCACTCCACCAAATACACGAAAAGCATCAATGAGACACACTCCAGGAATTAATGGGTCTTCGTCTGATTGGAAAGACACTAGAAGTTTAGTACTATCTCCACCAACAGTCAGAATAAAAGTCAAAACTACAGACAAAACTGAGTCTCCAGACTCTAAAGACACTACTCTCGGATCCTCGTCAATGTCTCCAATGACATCATCGACACCTCGCCGTCGCCCAGGTCGGCCGCGCAAGGTCTCCCCACCACCCACACCTCAACCCATTTCAACAACAGAATCGCCATTGGGAAAGAGGCGTAGATCAGCACAAAATCAAAAGTCAGAGTCAACATCTGTTGCACACTCCGATCCAATCCAGAATTCGCCTGGCCGAAAGAAGTTGAGGAGATCGCTACCAGTAACCAAACCGTCTGACGAGGTAGCAAGTGTCGATAAGAGAGAGCTATCTTCATTGGAGAAGTTGAGATTGAAGGCGATGCAAGAGAAGGAAAATGATCTTGTGAAAGTAGTGGAGAGACATGAGGCGCTGGTTAGGGAGTTGTTCTTTATGGAGAGTAGAAATGCTGCGATGACTGATCTTGATCCTCAGAAGTTGAGATTGGAGAATAATGAACATGTTATGAAGGTACTCTGTTGTGCATAATGTATATATGAAACAACGATATCAATATAGATGATGACATAATTTAAATTGCGCATTATGGTGTATTATGGATGGTTGGAGTAATGTCATGAATTATTTTAATAAATTTTAATAAAATACTTTACTAACACGACATACTATTAATAATTGAATACTTATTGTATCGAATATTTGAATATTTGCTATTCTACTTTTCTACTGTTATTTATATCGTTATTACTTTCCATCATTTATTTTTTGTATTATTAGTTTGACTTTACTTATATTCCCGTTCTGCTTTTTATCCGATTACTCATTTCCACTCGTAATAGTATCTCAAAGAACACAGCGTGTGGTCAACCCTAACCGACGAAATCCTAAACTCATTCACAGAAAACTCCAGCCGTGTCTCAACACGTCGCTCCATTAACCGTTATCGTGACTCCTTCATCACGAATCTTCAGAAATCTATATCTACAAAAGTAGCAGCGAACAGGGCGGCATTAACAGCACCTCGAATCACCCGACCGCCCCTCGGTCTCACATCTGGCTCACCTGCATATTCAACGCGCGGACGATGGAGACCGCAGTACAACAATCTAGACCACTATTTACAATCGTTCATCACTTTGGATGATGAGGATATTACACCCGAGGAGGAGCAAGAGAGAGCAGAGAAAGAGTCTGGAATTCAATTTAGAATTATGCAGTTACAGATGGAAGGCAGATTACAGAAGACGATTAAGGCACTACCTGAGCCTCCATTGGCTAAGGTACATAGGGATTATTTGCTAGAGCACCTTGCTTTTGCTGCGAAAAGGCATGTGAAGAGATTAGAGTATAGAAATAGAGTGACTAGACAATTAAGTAAAGCAGTGACACAGTATTGGTACAGAATCTCACAAGAGGAGCCCAAGAAGCAGAGGGCCGAAGAAAGGAGATTGAAAAAGTTAGCCAAGGCTACTGCCACGTTGGTGAAGCAGAAGTGGAATATGGTTGAGAAGGTAAGTGAGAGATGAAAAGTGGCCATTTTTGGGATATTAATTGACAAATATTAACGATAACGATCCTGAGGATGCTGTGTTCCAATATGTTGTCATTGACTATTATATATTTACATCAACTATTTTGACTTTATTTAGGCCGTTATACAAGCTTATAAGAACAAATTACGTGAAGAAGCAGAGCGCGAAGGACAACGTCATCTTGATGAACTGTTAGAACGCTCGGCCCAAGTGCTCGAAGTACAACATAATGAACTATTAGGTTTACGTACATCACAGGACGATATGGATGAATCTGTTGATAATTTTGAGGATAATGAGGACAATGAGGACAATGAGGACAATGAGGACACTTTAGATGCTCAGGAGCGAGAGGAGGATTCGGAAGATGATGCGAAAGAACTTAATGCTTTAGCTGATGAATCAACTTTGTCGATTGAAGAATTGCTCAAGAAGTATGGATATGGTATTGAACAGCTCAATCATGACAATGAAAGTAAGAATGATAAGGAGAGCGATGATGAGGACGAGAATGAGAATGAAAATGCTGATGTTAATGTTAATGCTAATGAGAATGAGAATGAGAATGATAAGGAGATTGACATTGAGATTGAGCATGATAACGAGATCGATAACGAGATCGATAATGAGAATGATAGTATGGACATTACCGATGACAATGCCAACGCTGTTGTTGAGACTCATAGGCAGAATAAGCATAATCTGGTAGTGGAGTTACCAAAAACAGAAGTCAGGGTGGTAATAGTTGTTCAATCATCACCCAAATGCGTCGTAAATGAACCGCAGCCGCCCACACCCGAAAGTACGTCTGCATCAACTGCCAATATACGCACTCGCATACCACCTCTTCTCCGCGGTCAACTTCGCGAGTACCAACATGTCGGACTCGATTGGCTAGCCAGTCTATATAACAACGGACTCAATGGTATTCTCGCTGATGAAATGGGTTTGGGTAAAACAATCCAAACTATTGCTCTATTGGCGCACCTTGCTTGCGAAAAAGGCGTATGGGGTCCTCATCTCATTGTAGTGCCAACAAGTGTCATTATCAATTGGGAAATGGAATTCAAGAAATGGTGTCCTGGTTTTATTATCTTAACTTATTACGGCAATGCTAAAGAGCGCAAGCAAAAGCGGCTTGGATGGTTTAGAGAACATAGCTTTCATGTTTGTATTACTTCTTACCAATTAGTGGTTCAGGATGCTAGCATATTTAAGAAGAGGAAATGGCATTATTTAATACTCGATGAAGCACATCATATCAAGAACTTTAGATCTCAACGATGGCAGACTCTTCTCAATTTTAATTCGCAAAGTAGATTGTTACTTACTGGAACGCCCTTACAAAATAACTTAATGGAACTGTGGTCTCTGCTCTATTTTTTGATGCCACAAGGAATAACAAAGAATATGCCATCTGGATTCGCTAATCAGAAGGAGTTTCAAGAATGGTTCTCGCACCCTGTCGATCGTATGATTGAGAGTAATGACCAAGTTGACGAAGATGGGCGTGCTGCTGTGACTCGACTTCACACTGTTCTGCGTCCATATATTCTTCGACGTCTTAAGCGTGACGTGGAAAAGCAGCTGCCAAGAAAGCGAGAAATAGAGGTCAGGTGCCGTCTATCAAAGAGGCAAAGATTTCTGTATAGTGATTTTATGTCGCGTGGCACTACAGTAAATACCCTCCGATCGGGAAATTTCTTGGGTATTATTAATTGTCTCATGCAGTTGCGCAAAGTGTGTAATCATCCTGACCTGTTTGAAGTACGTCCCATTCGTACGTCATTTGCCATGTCGAGATCAGCTATTGCAGATTATGAGATCAAAGAATTTCTTATCCGGAGACGAATATTTAGAGATTCCGAGGAAAATGAGTTGAAAATTGACTTTCTCAATCTTCAACTTGTTAACTTTGAAATGAATGAAGATTGGTTGACATGGAGTGAGCTAGCTCGCATATCTCCTGAAAGTCTGATATACGAAAAGATTGACTGGTACGGAGCAGTGAAGAGGGGAAGTTGGTCAGCTCCAAAGTATATTGATTATAATAGTATTACGGAGTTTCAGCGTAATATTCAGTATCGCTCTAGGCTTGCAATTAAAGCGCGATGGGAATATATCCGATATGTTAACGCATTTCGTAGTAAACGTCGCCCATTATACGGCACTGGATTGGTCAGGTTGTGTAAGATGTTGGGCTCTGTTCCCGTCGAAAGAGCGCTAATCGATTCCAATAATCCTAAGAAATATTGGTCGACGATGACCAGCTTTGCTGCTCTAGTCAAGTCGCCCGCTCAACGATATGCCGAAATGGAAGAGATAATAAAGCGTTACGCTTTTGTCACCCCAGCAGTAGTAGCGCGCGACCTAGTTAAATATACATTGTCCATGATGTCGGACGAGCTACGTCATAAAATAAATACGGAAGTAGATGATATATATCATCCCATTAGAGTCAAGCTACAGATAGCGTTTCCTGACAAGTGGCTGGTGCAGTACGATTGTGGTAAACTACAGAAGCTGGATGTGCTGCTTCGTCAATTGAAAGCTGAGGGTCATCGAGCTCTTATATTTACTCAGATGACTCGTGTATTGGATATATTGGAAATATTTCTCAATATGCATGGGCATAGATATCTTCGGCTTGATGGTGCCACTAAAGTGGAGCAACGACAATTGTTAACCGAGAGATTCAACCATGATCCTAAAATACTGGTATTTATTCTGTCTACGAGATCAGGAGGACTGGGCATTAATCTAACAGGAGCTGATACGGTAATATTCTACGACTCGGACTGGAATCCGTGTATGGACAGGCAGTGTCAAGACAGGTAATATATGAAGTTATTGTTCTATAATAGAATTGGTAATCGCGTGCAATATACATGGATATATTATGTTATACATGTTGTATGAAAGTATATTTATATATGTATCTATTTTCATAGATGCCACCGAATAGGACAAACACGTGACGTGAGCATATATCGATTCATCAGTGAGCATACTATAGAGGAAAATGTACTTCTCAAAGCCAAGCAGAAACGTAAACTAGATAAATTAGTTATGACTGAAGGTGATTTTACAACTGACTATTTCGAAAAGATGAAGTGGCGTGAATTGCTGGATGTAATAGCACCGAAAAGGGATGAAGATGTAAGCGATGATACTTTAGCAGGTCCAGCCTTAGAACAATGTCTTGCTATGGTAGAAGATGATAAGGATGTTAATGCTGCCAGAGTAGCCCGAATTGAGGAGGACATTGATTTGACGGAGTTTGCTGAGGGCAGTAATTCTGCTGCTGAAAATGCAGCCACGACTACGGCTGCTGAAACATCAGCAGACATGGAGACGGGGGCAGCGGAAGCGGATCAACAACAGTCAGCGGAAGCGGATCAACAACAGTCAGCGGAAGCGGATCAACAGCAGTCAGCGGAAGCGGATCAACAACAGTCAGCGGATACATTATCACCGAATAGCGATACAGATGACACGGGCGAAAGTGATAAGGCCGTAGATCATGTGGACAATTACATGCTTCGATTTATGGAGAGGGAACTTGGTATATCAATTGATAGTGATATTAATACATGAAAAAGTATTATAATTGCAAATAATATTGTTAATTCAACTTTGGGTACGCGTGAATATGTGTGAGCAACGTTGAATAAGGCTGGAGTGGTTTATTATTTTATTTTCAAATAGTTAATTCAGAAACAATCGACAACATCTGAGGTCTATAGAATGAGTATTACAGTGTTCCGTAACTATATTAATGAGTTGTATTGAGTATTAATATGTATTGATATGGCCAATTGCATAGGATTAACTCATAAAGCAAATGAATTTGTTGATGTAGAGTCAAACTCATTGCGTCCACAATGCTTACTGAAGCAAGCATAGTTTCTTAACTTACAGGGGTCACCCGCGAATTGTGTGAATCGGCGTAATTTAGAAGTATATAGCAATAGACATTATAATTGTCGCGAGCAACCAGGTGTAAATTGCCATTACTCAATAAATTCTTGTCGTATACTGTACATTATGGAAGGATACTCTCCTTTAACGTTTTGAGATCTGGACAATTCAACAGAACGGAAAATTGCTATTACTATTGCTTGTGTCCATATTAGATAATATTAGTTTGTTTTAACGAAGTATCTACTGATTTCCATTTTAAATCTTTCAATCCTGAGACAATTTGGCCGTTTATTTGCACACCTGCATAATTTTCAGTTATCTTTCCAATTCAAAATATCAATAACTATAAACCATCAACGCGACCAAAGTCTCTCACACTAATCGAAAAAATGTTTGTTTGTTCACATCAATTCCACCGCAATTCATGTGTGTTTGACGTTAAAGCCAATTGTGCCTTTCTTTAATTTTGCCAACGAACCCAGAGTGGAAGTTTACGTTCCAAAAGAAAATCAATCTTGGCTTCTTTCACTTCCGATGACGTTATAGATAGATTATACACAGTAGCGTGCTGCTGTCGTGCGACAAACTGAGAGTGCTTACGTCATCGAGTGTAACCCATGTTCGCACATGTATCACTCTTGATCTCTCTTCTAACTAACAGAATGGATGCAAACCCCACAGAGTATACCCCGATAACTCTTCCTACCATCGATCTTTCTCTATTCTCATCTTCAAAACCTCAATCTACTCTTCTCCTCAACTCTCTATCTACTGCGGCGTCGACTTATGGGGCGTTCTACGTTACTTCGTCATCATTCACACTATCTGATGAGCAAGCGATTATTAGTGCAACGAAAGAATTCTTCTCCCTGCCTAAAGAGGTTAAGGAGAGCGTGTATTATAGAAATGGAGGGTTCGTTAGAGGATACATTCCTATGGGCGGAGAATCTGGATCCGAAAGAACAGAAATGAAAGAAGCATTCTCGTATGGATATGATTGGGATAACCGTGACGTAAGTGATAACCTGAGTAATGAGAATGAAAGGAACTGATAAAGATAATGCAAACTAATAATAAGCGGCACATTATCAATTACACTACTAACCACATATCATCGACAACAAGCCCCCTGCCTCAGTCCTTTCTCCATTCTCTAATTCGTTGGAAGGACATAATCAGTGGGGACAATTGGTTGATATACTAGGCGTCAAATGGAAGAATGTGTTGACAGACTATTATGCTAAAATGATGCAGATAACAAAAGATTGCATTAAAGCATTGGAGATGGCAATCGGAAGAGATATACAGCAACCAGACAAAAGCGGAGAAACCATATCGATGATAAGATTATTTCATTACTTTCCTCATCTGAACGACGGGAAGATGATTGGCAGTTCACCACATACGGGTGAGTAGAGAATGTATGAACACTCAAGAAAGCATAAACGTCAACATGTGAAGCATAGGGTGATACTTAACGGGCTCATTTATGACTATTGAGATCATCATACAATATATTATACACAATGTATACTAAAACCTTCTCCTCTTTTACATGATAATTCTATTTCCCCCCTATTCAAACCTCGAACCCATTACTTAAACTCCCAGACTGGGGTCTTCTAACTCTCGTGCTCCAACCCAACTCTCCTCGCGGTCTTCAGATCCATTACAATAATCAATGGTGGGATGTTCCCTCTAAACCGGGTTCCTTTATAGTTAACTGCGGCGATTATTTGTCACTAATGACGGGTGGAGCAGTTGTCTCTCCATTACATCGCGTGGTGAGCGATGGTGAGTCAGAGAGATATTCATTGGTATTTTTCTATTATCCTCATTATGATACATGTCTTCCGAGCGGGCAGGGAAGTAACCTTAAGCTGAGTTTGCTGATGGATCAGAGTGTGAAGTATGAAGGTAATGATGACGATCAAAAAAAGAATGGAACTGAAGGTGTTACATTTGGAGAGGTGAGTCAAGAAATTTGTTATTATTGTTCGATGTTAAGTATCAACTCTTATGGAATTGTTTCCGTATATAGTACATTAATCGTAAATGGAATCAAGTCGCAAGGGGAGATTATTTTGTTTGACAAATGATCACTGCTGAATATTTTGTATACTGGATTATATTCACACAAAAAATAGTAAATTGTTAACATTAATTATAGGACTGACATTGGTGATGTAGGAAATTACGTAATATATTGTATTATTTAGTCTAGCCAGAACGTAATGTTGATTATTGAACCCCATTATATAACGAAATGCGTTATAACGAATTTTTGTTATAATTAGAAAATTTGTCATAGATACAGTAAATGTTGTCATACTATACAATTTCACGTGAATATGAATATTCTGAGTTAATCATGTAACGTATTGTAATGAACGGCATTTGGTAAACAAATGAGTAATGTTGACTTTGCATTGTCTAATGAAGGTAAGGCCGATTGTATTCTCTCAAAATGAATCTCCGATACATAAATATTCTAATTTCTTACAATTTTCTAACTTTGAGTGATCCATTATAATTATATTAATCTTCTTGCGCTAAAATGCTTTTTACTCTCAATAGGCAAAAGATTGTTCTCTCTAAAATACTGCAAGCGAGACCAAATTCGCTCTTTCCACTGGGAGTTTCATTAGTGTGAACTTGTGGCATCCAGCAATATTCGGTCCATTCAATATCAGTGCATTTAGAACCACTTAAATCCTGAATAGTAACCATTTTATTTTATAGTGCTATTAATCTATGTACGTTTAATGGAATATAGCGCTATATGCAATTTTCAGACGTATCAATTATATACATTATAATACTGGATTCAATTTTAATCGAATTGGAGTCTCTGGCTCATCCGTGTTTACGTATTTTTTTGGGTATCTTGGCAAAGTCCAAGACTAACGTTTATATTCTTCTTTCTGAGTGCGCTTGTGTATTTATTCATTATTCGAGATCACATAAATTTGTTCTTAGACTCACGATTTGAATATAAGGCGTTAACTGGTGCCATAACTTGCGAAACGCATCCTATTTAACAATTTCAACGTGCTATCGTTTTCGAGACCTGCAATAAAATCACGATAGACCGATTTGTAACTCGTTTCAGCTGGTAAGAGTGTAAGCGATTGAGTAATTCGGTTGACGTTTCTACCAGGACTTGGTAATCCATGAATTTCAACATAGTTTTCGAGAAAATTCTTCATGATGGTAGCAACAGTTATATCAATGGTTATTTTGGTTTTCTATCGCTGCACTTTTTTTACATCATACCATGAACGCGCGGTATTATACCGTTTGTTTCTAGGTGACTCTGATGTTTTCAAAATGAGTGCGACCAATTCCTAACATATTGAGATGCGTTTTCTGACAAAGCGGCGTGCAATCTCAGTAGTAAAATGTTCGTTTATTAACACGCGTTTTCTTTTTAAGACGTCGACTGGCAGTTATTTCTCCACCATTCATTGCTTTCAACTGGGCCATTAAAGATATGTCTTGTTCGGATCTAGCGAGAGCTTGAAACGCCTCACGTAATTCGGCTCAGAATCATTTTTGGGCAACCACAATTGCAACCTATCTCCAAGAAACGTGTTGCTTTTTCGTATTCAGTCATCACAACCATATAATATATTTTATGTTCAGTTTGTCTGATTTTGTAAAATTTCCTCTACATATCGTATTAAATATATATGGGATTACCTCTATTAATATGTAGTTGACGATACATATGCCGTATATAATAAATGTCTAAGCCACCTGTATGCCACAATTCTGGGTAATTCTCATCAAGAAAGGCTTTAGCAAGACGACTACTACGCTTGGAGTCATTGTCTTGCTGAAACCTCCATTTACCTACCCCGAGCATTTGGTCAATTTCTGGGAAATGTTGCTGTTTGTCAAAAGCAATAAACTCATCGAGTTGCTTATTGTTGCTAGTCCATCCATCGGATAATTGTTTATGTCCACAAATGCACCACACGCACAAATGCACCACACGGGACTACATCGGAGTACTCCACATGCAGTGCAGAATCCATATCGAGAGTAACAATGGTTTTCCCATTCACCCCACGCCATAATTTTTGTTCGATCCTTCGACAGACCGTACACCCTTATGCCAACGTTCATCTGTCCGACTCCAATCATTGTTAAGATGATTTTGAGCCCATTATACACGTTTTTGCTTGTGGCCGTTAGTAAGCATAGGTTGGCTCTTGGGAGGGGTTTTTTGTATCCAAAGTCGTTTAGATGGCTGATAACTGTTGCATACGTCACACTTACGCCTATTTTTAACAACTTTTTTGCCAAAGTTCGTATTGACAAGGAAGTGTCTCGCCGAATGTATTGCCTGAGTGCTTTCGAGGCATTTCCAGTAATTTTTCTCGGGCGACCATTACCACCAGCATGCTTAGTAGTTCCAGTTTATTTATATTGCCATATATTGTTGAGAGTGGTATGTAGCTCGCAAGCATCGCGCACTCCTTCATTTCACAAATATAATAAAGTTTTCCGTTATAATTCTTTCTTGGTAACAGACATCGTGTAATATGTATCAAAAAAAGTTATGTATGGATGCGATAAAAAAAGAGTTTAAATTGATCCCTAGATCTTTGTGTTTATTTTGAATTAAACGCGTTAGCGTCACAAAATTGGGCATGCTAGACGCGGGTTAGTGACGTATACAATTTTCCGTTTTTTTTTTTTTTTTATATAAAAAAAGTTTCTGTACAACTGGATAAGTTTATCTTCTATAGTTTTTTTTTAATATGTTCATCAACCATTTAACCAGGTCTTCTAGGCGTTTACTCCCTTATGGCATCCGCCATGTGGGAACCGTAGCCAAGCAAACCGAGCCAATACTTTTTAACCGGCAACGTGAAATCGACTATTTCAAAAAGAGATTCAAAAGCAAAGTGCCAGGACTTCACATCATCCTGGGTCCCCCAAGCACTGGGAAAACTGCTTTAATGCGCAAGGTAGTGAGTGATGCTGGCATGAACCCTCTACTTATCGACCTCCGTAGCGGACAATGCGACACACCAATGGCCTTATACTATTCAATTATCGAACAATACAAAACGTTTTATGACAAACTCAAAACTTTGTCCAAGAGTGTTAAGGCAGTCAATATGGCAAGTTATGAAATCCAATTTAACGAATTGACCTCTGGAGTTACTGCTGGGACAGCAGTTACTCGTCTGCTTTGCGAAATTAGTAGTAGGCTTCCACAATGGAGATGGTGGAGTAGCATGGATGTACCACCACCCATCCTTGTCATTGATGAGGCAAATAGGTTTGACCAGTTGAGTGAAGTATCACCTGAATCCACTAGTGTTATCCAGACATTTCTTCAGTGGATGGTACTGAATACGAAACAAGAACAAAAGTTCCACATAATCCTCACCTCCTCTGATTCGTTCTTTATAAACTGGATCCGAAAATGTAAGTTTGATTTGTCTCTGTACATTGCTGTATATTTTCTTTTCTTTCTTATGCATATTTGTACCATTTTTGATAGATATAAATCATATTCATTTTAAGCCATATGTTGTTGGTGATCTGTCCAAAGAGAATGCTGAAGAATTTTTTGAAGAACATGTACTTATGAAATGTGAGTCTTTTGAATCTTCTTTACAACCTTTTTTTGGACACATGATCAATGCTTACACAATGGCATCCCTTCTTTGGAGCAGATGAACCTTCCATCCGCAAAGAGCTCACAGGGCAGTTTCACCACATTCATAGAATTACAGGCACTCGCATGTTTCTTATTAAACAGTATGTTGATCAATACTCAGTTCAAGGAAAATTTGAAGGTATGTTAGCAGATTTCTCCACCTTTCATTTAAAAAGCTGATTCTAATGATCTGGAACCTGATTCATAGATTGCTTATTTGACTATTACTTAAGTGCTTATGATCAATTACAAACTGGTCTTTATCCTGAGACTCTTAAGGGTATAAAGCCTGCTCCAGCTTGGCAGCAAGATGACTTCATTAAAGCCATGCGATTTATTGTGAAGAATGCAGATCAAGGATTTGTTGCAGAAAGGGATTTGATAAGAGAGATTGGCCCAGAAAAACTTCTATCCCTTGTTCACTACAACTTTCTGCATCGCCGACCAACTCCTATATACACCTTTGACATAGTCAACCCACCAAATGAACCAATTTTGACCCCAATGAGTCAGCCGGCATTGCGTGCGATGGAAGATCTCTTGAAAATGGTTGATGGAAAAGCTTAGCGATATTGGCTTCATAACTGTTCTCCAGACTTTTCATGCTTGTAGTATTTTTGATTGCCATTATAATAAATAATGATATGTTCTGGTTTTGTTGCAGCACGTGTTTATTTTTAAATATCTGTTTTCTTCCCTGGTCAAGCTTTTATTGACAGTATAAGGGTAAAATCATTATTTCTATCATCAGTAGTAGTGTTAAATCTTGCTATTAGCACTACAGAACTTTAGCAATCAGGGATTGTATCCCGTTTTAGAACCTAGACTTTTAAACTATCCCTGTTAAAAGAAATTGACATATTTACTATAGTAATAGGCTAGATTTATTTCAAATAGTGCATGCAAAATTCTACAATTTAGATAGTAAGTGTAAATCCCAGATACAGTCATCAATTGTCATTTGTAGTATTAGCTTAGAGTAAGAATAGCTAAAGGTTCTGTTGGAATCTCAAAACAGCTAGTGCACTGCCACTCTCCAAGGTGTCTTTCTGTCTCCCTTTTGACAATTGCCCAGAGGTTTTCAATGAGGTTAAGGTCAGGACTGTTAGAAGGCCAATCCATGATTTCTGGGACATTTTCCTTAAAAATTCTTAGCCATGCAACTAGTATGTTTAGGATGGGTCTGTATTATTTCATCAACAATCATTTCACTGACAGTACATTTCACTGACAATTAACTACCAAAAAAGGATAATGTTGGTGAAGATTTGTCAGTGAAATGATTGTCAGTGAAATGATTGTCGGTGAAATGACTGTTGATGAAATAATTGCCTCCCATTTAGGATCATTGTCCTGAACCACTTTTTTCCCAGCATTCTGTTTACCTCTGGGAGATGTCTTTCTACTATTTCAACATAGAGTTTACTAACCATTATGCCTCAAAAACAGAAAAGACTAGTCTTTCCTTTGATACAAAATCCTCCCCAAGCAAAAATCTTATATCTGTCTTTTGGCATTAAACAGACAGGCCTTGTATTTTTGTACTAACATTTAATTGTGTTGCTAAACAATTGGGAGGCAGTTTCATCAGTAAAGGTTGTCTTTTTCCAATTGTCATTAAGGTGACTATGGGTCCATGCAACATGATTTTCTTTATGGGTTGATGTAAGCATTGGGGTAGACTGTTCTTATAACCTTTTTTAGCCAAATGCTTAGTTATTGTTGTGCAATAAAGCTCCACACCATTCTCACAGCAATTGATTTTCCAGACATAGAAGAATCCCGACAAACATAGACTGATTGCATGTGACATGCTGGCAGTAATCTTTCTTGGTCTGCCATTGCCCCATTTAGACACTCCCATTTTTCTCAAGTTTGTTTATATTGTAATATATTGTACTCAATGGTATATGAGTATGGGAGTGTAATTCAGAGGCATCACATATCCCTTCGTTCCATAAATGTAATAGTGTTTGACATTGTGTTTTTTTAGATGATGGTGACATTTTAACTTTCAATCAAAGAAAACGGAGCAAACAAACTCAAATCAAAAGTTTGTGAGCAGGTAACAACAAAACGCGCACAATTTGCATTTTTAATGACGCGATTTGGACTCAAATTGGGTAAGTTACACATGTACAAAAAACTCGTAATAACTTTCCAATTTTTTTTTCTTCACACTGTAGTTGTACTCATGATAGGAACTTGTACAATCATGCAAATGTTCGGGTGTATCAATGACAGAATCGAGAATTTAAGACCCGACAAAAAAGTTCGAATCACCTTTTCTCTCTTTTCAATAAACATGTTTAAAACGAAAGAAAGCAACGGTAAAGATCTGTTTGAAAGCACCTAATACTTGGACGACATTCTAATTATCTCTACTATTCCATTGCAGAACTAGAACTATTTCCGACCATCAAAGAAGTAATCAAAGAGCTCTTTCCGGATGCATCAAGCGCTGACGTTAAGAAATATACGAAACAGGTTTCAAACGCTGACGAATATGATCCTCTGTTAGTTATTAAGCCAAATGAAGCGTGGATCGCGGCTCACGGATGGGCAGCTTATAATGCAGTGATGGATCAGATCGCTACCTATAATCTCACTAGGGGACGCAGAGATGAAAACAGTCGTCGTATTTTCCACTTCAGAGGCGTTCAAGAGCTGTATTTCGTTCGAGACACCATGTTTGCTAATGGTATCATTCCAAACGCATTCCACGTGCCATCTACTTTGCGACCTTTTGCTGCGCCGGGCGCTAATAATCTAATACCCATCGGACGTGTTTACATTGTGCATAAGCTGGGATCGAAAAAATCTGAGTATGGGGAAGACACGCGGTTTTTTCATGTGAATTAATTGTTATTTTAGTTCTGTGATAACACTCGTTTTAAATTGGGTATTGTCTCGTTGTATCTTTGTACTTGCAGCAATAAGATAGTATTTTTCGTAATAGAAAGTTCCCTCTCGCCGGGAATTGTTTGAATCACTTGATTGCACATTTAGCTTAATAAAGTATCTGAAGGCTTACCAGGCCTATTGGAAATATAACACCTTTAGCGTTCAATCGTAGGTGTAAACAAATAAAGAACGCAAAATTCCATATTGGAAATATAGAGAGTTCCGCTTGAACCAAATTTCTTGTTAAAAGCAATCACGGAATAACCGAAAAGTCTCTAACACGCCGGATGAGAGAGGAGGACTATTCCAACCGAATTAGTCACTAATGTCTCATTGACTGTCTTCTATGAGACCCTCAGTTTTTGGATATCGGGTGAAGGGACGCAAGCAGTTATATCACGTGACCATTTGTCATTAGTAGAGGCTTATGAGATTATGGTCGATGTTGATATTAGGATAATAATCAGGTAATAATGCTGATGTTAAAGTTAGGAAAGAGTACATATTTGTTTTGTTAAATAATGACTACGAACGTTTTCGGTACATCATAACAAGTATTAGTATGCTGGCTAAAGAATAGACTCTTTCCGAGTTGTTTTTAGTATTTTACCGAATATGTGTAAATGCTTAAAGACCCCGTATGTCTTGATAGGTAAAACAAATTGAACATTATAAGCGCGATAAATAAACACTTGTTTATTAGAAATTGTTGACAACGAAATTTTAACGTTCTCGTGTTCATCAGCTACTATTGTACATTTTCAAAATTTGAGATTTTATGTCAAACTTTATTTAGTTTTTTCGTATTGCAGTTTACCATTCACATCTTTCTCTTTAAAACCGCTGTTAAAAAGAGCAAATATTTTCCTTGCCTTTTCAGTTCTTTTACGTAGAGTGTCGTTGGAGATTTTATCCCCAATTTGTTTTCGAACTTCTTCATCTGCGAAGCAGAGCGCTCTGCGCCTAACTAATGCTTTGGATGCTAAATCGCTATGGTCTAAACTTTTATAATAATCGCACATCGATAAATTTATTTTTGACATGAGCGATA